ATTCCATGTGGATTCTTGCTGCTTTTGGCCCCGTGTGATAAGGTCCATAGAAACCTAGAGATGGAAGAGACCACAATGGCCATCTAGTGTAACCCCCTGCCATAAGGAAATGCACAACTCAAGCAGTTCTTTCTCTGCTTAAAGACCTTCAAAGAAGAGGAGTCCACCACCTTGAGGCAATATATTCCACTGCTGGACAGCTTATACAGCTTTTGGAAAAAGTTCTTCCTAATGTTTAGGACAGAGAGACAATGTGGTGTAGTAGTTTGATTGCAGAACTGAAACAGGTGAAAGCTGCAATCAGCCCCACAGGGTGTTTTCCCCATTGATTGAAAACCACATCCTTGAATGGTATGGCTACACTATTATGAAGCTGCAGATGATGACATTGTGAAGAAAGATGATGACATTGTGAAGAAGCACTTGTAAGCATGTGCAGAGTGCTTACCCTCAGTTGCCCAATTGCTCCCCAACTAGTGACTTCCTAAGCTGAAGACAAAGGAGCAAAGCTTCCCTGTAGTATTGAGACACAGCATTTTCCACTCTCCTTTTGAAAATTAATTACAGTATTTTCTTGAGTATAAGACTGCCTTTTAACCCAGGAAAATCTTCTCCAAAGCCGGGGGTCGTCTTGTACACCGGGTGGCAGAGGAGGAGGAAGAAGGGATGGCATGGCACAAGGCGGGAGGAGGAAAAAGAGAGGAAGTCAGGTTAGAGGAGGAGGAGTGGGGAGGAAGAGGTGGCGTAGTGTGGTGTGAGGCAGGAGGAGGAAGCAGCAGCGGATAAGAGGTGAACCCCTATCCTGGGGTTTTCTTGGCAAGACTGGTTCAGAGGAGATTTGCCATTGCCTTCCCCTGAGGCTGAGAGTGTGTGACTTGTCCAAGTTCATCCAGTGGGTTTCATGGCAGAGTGGGGAATCAAACCCAGATCTCCAGAGTGGTAGTCCAATACTCAAACGACTACACCATGCTGGCTCCTATTCGCATGTACTACCTATGAAATAATTGCAGACTTTTATGTTGCTCTTGTGTGTCTTCAAGTCCTTTCCAACTTATGGCAACCATATGGGTTTTTCTTGGCATGTTTCTTCAAATGGGGGTTGCCGTTACCATCCTCTGAGGCTGAGAGTGTGTGACATGCCCAGGGTCACTTACTTGGCTGCAAATTGTACATATCCCAGAATGCATCACTTAGTATATTGGCAGTCCTTCCCCCCAACACTTTCTCATTTTCCCCCATTGGAAGAGGGGTCGTCTTATACGGCGAGTATATCCCAAACTCTATATTTTGGCTGGGAAAGTTGGGGGTTGTCTTATACTCCCAGTCGTCTTATGCATCGGAAAATGCGGTAATTGATTAAAAACCAATTGTTGTTCCCTAGCTGAAGGTTCATCTGGATAACCCATTTCTTTCTGTTTTTGCCTTCTTCTAACTGTCCTGTTTATATGATCAGGGTGAGGCAGAGGTTTGGCACTTGTTGTCTGGAAGCAATTTTGGTCCAAAAGAAGGGAAAGGACAAATCTTAGATGGATGTGTCTGTCTATTTCATCCCATTCCTTGTTAACACTTGGGAGGTTTGGAAAACCAAAGGCTCCAGATGAAGAGCAAAGCAAAACATGCAGTATTGTCCTAATGCACAAGTGCACACATTATGCTAATAAGGAGTGAGCTCTCTCCCTCTGTTCACACTCCAAACAGGTTTGAAGCTGAACACAACCGGCAAAGGAGGGGAACTTGAATGGCAGTTAAAGGGCGGGGGAAAGGGTGAAGGTAGTAGGAAAAATAGGCCAGATTTCTTCCCTATGGCATTCTGTATTATTTAACAAAACAGCCCCAATGCAACACAGAAGTAGACACAAGGAATAGAATCCATAACTCAGCTGGGCCTTCTCAGGTCAAGAATTTGCCCAACTTATGGTTCAGTTCACACTGAAAAGTCCCAGAGGACCTTCCCTAGAGCAGTTGTACCTAGATTTTGGAAAGGTTCTTTTTGGACTACGAATCACACAATCCCCTGACCAGTATCATTCTGTTTGGAGGATTCTAGAAGCTGATTGTTGTTGTTGGATGCCTTGAAGTCATTTTTTGACTTATGGTGACCCTAAGGTGAACCTATGGTGGGGTGTACATGGAAAGATTTCTTCAGAGTGGGTTTGCCTTTGCCTTCCTCTGAGGCTAAGAGAAAGTGTGACTTGCCCAAGGTCACGCAGTGGGTTTAAATGGGTGAACAGGGATTTGAACCCTGGTCTCTAGAGTCATAGTCCAATGCTCAACCCACTAGATCATGCAGTCTATAGTCCAATAACCTTTTCCATTTCTGGCTGTGTTTCGGGGGGCACGTCTACATGTCAAATTGTTGTATTTTTAAAAACACACGCACACACACATTGATTCGTTTCCTTTTCCAAGGGAGCGTGATATGGGATAGAATGACTTGCACTTCCCCCATTTTGCCTTCAGAACAACCCTGTGAATAAGCTGAATGAATGTGCCTGATCCAAAGTGACCCAGCAAGCTTCACAAGGCCTGTCCTATGACCTTAAAGAAATCTGATGCCTGTTTATTTAGTGGAAGGGCTCACTCTGTTTTCTCTCATTTTTAAAAACTTTTATTTAGAACACAGAATGAGCAAAGTGTGCAGAAAAACACCAAATGTATGCACTACATAGAATAACTTCCATTCCTTGCAAAAGCAATGTCCAAAAAGGGGGAGGAGGTACTCTTCCAAAATGCATCTGTCTGAATCAGTGGTTTATGCAAGGTGTGTTCATTTCCAAAATTATAAATTATAAAATAAATAATAAATATAAAATTATAAACATGTTACAGAAATGTCTGTCACCTCTGAATTTGGTACTGTGGTTATGAAGAAACTTCTCAGTGAGGGCTATGGTCCAAACTCTGGTCATCCAGTTTCTGAAGGTGAGGGTTATTGCCTTTTTTGGAGTAGGTCTAGTCAATTGTCAATCCAGTCAGCTACTGTACATGGGACAGAGGTGTGTAACCCACTTGGCTTTTGCCTCGGATGCAAATTGACATGGGTTGGCTCTGCCTCCAGATGTTGCTGAACGTCAGCTCCCACAATCCCCAACCAGAAGCCCAATGGGAAAATATGGGAGTTGTAGTACAAAATAACTGGGAGGCCAAGGTTCCCAACACCTGTTGCAAGGTAGGGACATAAGGCTTTTGCAGACTGCCAGAAATAGTGCACATTAAATTGAGGCACTGCCCTGGCTCAGTGCTAGGGAATCATGGGAACTGTAATTTATTGTGGCACCAGAGCTCTCTGACAGAGAAGGATCAATGTCTCAGAAAAAAATACAATTCCCATGATTCCCCAGTACTGAGCCAGGGCAGTGCCTCAATTTAATGTGCACTATTTCTGGCAGTCTGCAAAGGCCCATAGTTAATCAAGGGCCCAGTGTGAGATCAAGACCACTCATGCCTTTGCAGATTGCTAGAAATAGTGCAAATTGAGTCCACTTTAACTGTCCTGGCTCAGTGCTAGGGAGTCATGGGAATTGTACTTTTTTTTCTGAGACATTGAGCCTTCTCTGCCAGAGAGCTCTGATGCCACAATAAACTACAATTCCCATGATTCCCTAGCACTGAGCCAGGGCAGTTAAAGTGGACTCAATTTGCACTATTTCTGGCAGTCTGCAAAGGAAGTTTTGCTGAAGTGCTTGCATCCATTCCACATTCTTCAGTAGTTCCCAGAATTCCATAACATTGAACCAGAGCAGTTAAAGTGGTGTCAAACCGGATGATTTCTGCAGTGTGGATGCAGCCCTAGTCCAACCTTCAGAATAAATGCATTTGGACACCACTTTAACTGTCATGACTCCATCCTGTGGAACCCTGGGATCTGAAGTTTGTTGTGGCACCAGAGCTCTCTGACAGAGAAGGCTGCATATCTCATCAAACTACAGATCCCAGGATTCTATAGCATTGGCAACAAACGCAGGTGTGTGTGTGTGTGTGGGGGGGAATCATTGCAATAATAACACCGGCCTATACCTCTCATCTCAAAGCATTTTACAATGGCTTTCCCCAGTCCCTTCAGGGGGTTTCAGACTTCCAGAAATAGTGCAAATTGAGTCCACTTTTAGGGTTAGGGTTAGTGCTAGGGAATCATGGGAATATTTTTTTATTTTATTTTATTTTATTTTATTTTTGTTCTGAGACATTGAGCCTTTTTTGTCAGAGAGCTCTGGTGCCACAATAAAATACAGTTCCCATGATTCCCTAACCCTAACCCTAACCCTAAAAGTGGACTCAGTTTGCATTATTTCTAGCAGTCTGCAACCCCTTCATTTCCATAGCATTGAGCCAAGCGGTGTCAAACTGCATTATTTCCAAAGTGCAGATTAGACCTGTGTGTGTGTGTGTGTGTATGTGCCTTCACCTCCCCTGTCGACTTATAGAGCCCCCATGAAGGATGATTGATGATGATGATGATGATGATGATGATGATGATGATGATGATGATGATGATGATGATGATTTTAGGCAAGGAATCGACCGCTGTCCTAAATCCGGCCGCCTGAATTTAGGCGTTTTTCTGAAAATGTGATTGAGAAATATGTTGCGCCTTGGACATACAATCTCTCTCTCTATTTCTCTCTCTTTTTCTGTCTCTTCGCTGGTAATCCGGCGTTTGCATGCAGAACACAACCCTTCCCTCCAGAGCGCCTCGCCAAAACAGAGCCTAAACTCTCTAATTAGCAACGTGTTCCATCATTAAGGAGCCCTGCTGAGAATTTCTATTTAATAATGGCCTTAAATTAGTTATGATGGTAAATACTCATTGGAAAATTCAACATCGAAAAACCGTCTCCCACCTGGAAAGGCTCCAGACTGCCTCTAATCTCTTGGAACCCACAAACCGACCCCCCCCCC